AGCATAATTAGTAATTCATGTATATTAATAATGTTGTACCAATAAAATGTAAAAGAATACACGCATATCAGCATAAATAATACAAAATAATATACAAATAATATAAGGATTTAAACGTAATAATTATATATATATATAATATATATATATATATATATATATATATATATATATATATATATGGTGTCTAAATTGAAAATAGAATGAAATTTAAGGCCAAATTTGATAGGAATTCGAATTACACTTGGAACCAAAGGGGCAAATTATAACTTTAGAAAAACAGAGGCATCAAATGCACGGTTTAACCGTTTTAAAGAACATATCTGGATTGTTAAAATAAAAATTAAAACAAATGAAAACTCATTCTCCTCTTCTCGCCAAAACGAGCCCTCCCCTTTTGCCTAAATGCTCTCGCCTGTTCTTCAGAAATGAAGAACAGGGCCGTGGTTCTTCATGAACCCAGAAAACGCTACCCTACGCCGCCTCGCCGTCGCCGTTGAATGGTGCCGACCGTCGTTCATTGGCGGCAAAACTCATCTCTTTTATTTTTATTATTTTTTTTTTGAAATCCCGAAAACTTTTTGAAATCCCTTTCTGAAAACAAGATTGTTTTTCGAAAATCGATTAGGAAAAAAACCTAGATCTAAAAAAGTTTTGAAAGAAAAAAAAATAAATCGAATGGCCTCCCTTTCGTTCCTCGACCGTTCGGTTTTGGTTTAGTTCGAGCCAGATATCACGCAAAATCAACATGCAAGGGGAAGCAACCGAACGAACAAGGTAAAAATGAAACACTACCTTTTTATTTCTCTCGGAATGTTTACAGCAAAGTGCCCTGAAAATATGTAACCCTTAGTATTTTGCAGTATTCCTTCTGCGTATTTTGTGTATCACCCGTATCTCTCCCTTTTTTTCCTTTTCATCCTGTTCACTTTACATGTATTTATAATCTAAGAATACTAGTCTTAGTCCCGATTTTCTAGCATTTTATTTGAACTAAATCACTGCTTGGTTGGTTGTGGATGTATCCTTGTATCTCACGTCGTTATGCTTGTTGAACATGCGAGAAATGACCGTGAAAGGAGGCGTGCGGCCGTGAAACTCGGGAGTTGGGACTGCTGGGTCTTCAACGGGGGAGAACGGCGCTGATGGAGTGTGTGAGGCTAGGGTTCTTTGGAAACCCTAAGTATACACGGGTTTGGGTCTTGGCTGGGGCCCTTGGGATTTGGGCCTTTATTGTTGGGCCTGTAACAGAAATTTAAGGATGTAAATAAATTATAATTTATAACATAATATAATATTATATATATGTATGTATTATGATGGGCGAATTTCAGTGTCTTCAATAATCTAGAAAACAATTTAATTAATGCTGGGTTTAAAGTTTAGATTGGAAGCTAGCAAACAATTTATGTATGGAATTAATTGAAATAAAATAGTTATATATATTTAGTGGATTCTTTTCTTTTTCCTATGGGTTCAAATTCAATGGGACAACTTCTCCACAAAAAATGCATTGTTTCATTGGAAGTGTTGTTTTATCCATTGAATTTCCCTTTAGAAATTTGAGCAACAGGTGCCCAATAACGACTGGTTGATTGCAGATTCTCGGTGTCCAAAAGGCAGCATCTCAGCAAGAGATTAAAAAAGCATATTATAAATTGGCACTGAGGCTCCATCCTGATAAAAATCCCGGTGATGAGGTATAAATCAGTGGCAGATTGACTAAGCCCCATATGACCAAATGCATCCCATTATTTTAAAAAAGTGGTTAAATTTAGTTTAATGTTTTAAGTAAAAAAGAAAAAAAATTACAATTTTTGCATTAACATTATTTTTAAAGAAAAAAAATAAAATTTTGGACCCCATTCTTTAATTTTTGATCAGACACGGTATAAATCCAAGTTTTTTTTTTTAATGATGAAATTAGGCTTCAAATCTGTTTGTGTGGGGAATTGTTGGTGCGAAGAATATGAAGCTAAACTTTAGTTGTTTTTCTAATTTGTAACACTTCATATCACTTATTCAGGAAGCCAAAGAGAAATTCCAGCAATTGCAAAAGGTTATATCTATTCTCGGTGACGACGAGAAACGGGCAGTCTATGACTAAACTGGTTGCATTGATGATTCTGTAAGTAAATATATTTTAGGCTTATCTAAATCTCTTGGGATATGGAAGTATTCAGTTTCTTCCCACACTTTTTTTTATGTAAAAACGAATCTATTAGGATTCCTATTGCTATACGGGCTATTCAATTGAAATTGGTTCATTTGTGAAATTTATTACCTTATGAGTGTATCATCTTTTAATATGTTCCTCTTGATTTTTTTGATAAGGATCTTGCTGGGGATGTTGAGAATTTGAGAAACTTTTTCAGGACTATGTACAAAAAGGTTTTGCATTTGTTGACTCTCCTCTCTATGTCATTTGAACTTTGGCTTTCCATTCGATTTTGTTCACAATGGTTGAAACGATTTCAGGTTACTGAGGCTGATATTGAAGAGCTTCAAGCAAATTACAGGGGATGCGATTCATAGAAGAAATATTTGTTTGATCTTTATAAGAAGTTCAAGGAGGCAGACTATTTTTCTTTCCTTGAGGCTTTCAAAATTATTTCTGATATTTCTTTTTCTGCTTTGACAGGCTCTTCTGTTCAATGCTTTGTTCGGATCCTAAGCTTGATTTACACCGTTTCAAGGACTTGCTTGATGAGGCAATAACGGCTGGTGACGCTTTCTTCCAGAGTTTATTTTTACAAGCTGGCTTATAAATTTTCTATTCTACAAGGACAAATTAAAGTCTTACATATAGTTCTTACCTGATTTTTCGATTTAAAAATGGATGGATAAGCAAATGCCAATTCGACAAGTTCCGGATCCTTTATGGTGAGATCTTTAGACCTTTAGTCCTAAGTGACATTCTTTTAAATATTTCCATAAACAATAATTGAAACGTGGACCACATTTTATAGCTATGTCACAGTTTAAGATCGGGAGAGCTACATTGGTTATTTTTCTAGTGTCTGAAACTGCCAAAATTAGGGTTGTGAGATCATTTTGAAGCTAATCGATCATTCCACTTTTATATGTATTTTCACTTTCAGAATGCAAAACTAATTGATTATTCTCCCGAATTATGAAAACGAGGATGTGCATAATTCTTGCAGCTTTTCATGATGTATGGTTTTTGTATGAGATGAGCTTTTTCCCTCTTTGTTTCTGTCTTGAAACCAAAGCCTATAAGAAATGGGTAAAGAAAGTCTCTGAAATAAAGCCACCTACAAGCCCCTCAAGGAGGAAGGGGAGTGAGTCTTATACTGAGTTTTTTCTCTTAGAATTTTAAGATATTTATGTCATCCGATTATGATGTAAAATATGTGCCTCTTCTTTTGTTTATTAAACAGATCAATTAAACAGCCGGAATTGGATCTACTTGCAATTATATCTCATCGTCGAAATGAGAGGAAGGACCGATTCGATTCCATGTTTTCGTCGCTGGTGTCCAGATACGGTGGTAATGCAGAGTCTGAACCCGCTGAAGAAGAATTTGAAGCTGCTAAGAGGAAACTTGAAAGCCGAAAGGCCACCAACAAATCAAAACGGAAGCGGCAGTAGGTATTACCTAGATTTTACTCTAGGTTTCTTTATGCAAAGAAATCGTATGTGGTGAAAATTTTGCAAAATGCAACATTGTCTTAACTATCTGGATGCAAACCGACTTATCCGCTCCAAAATGTTGCCTTTGGTCTAATTAAAAGTAAATTAGAAATGAATGGCTCATTTGCGGCAGTCTTATCTACCTTGTTTATGAAAGGATTTGGATGCATTTAAGGATGGCAACTGGGGCATTGTTTTTCCTTGCCCCGACCCAGACTTGAATTGATTTTATATCAGAACTATTGCTTGCTACTTTCTAACAGATAAAGATGGAGCTCGACTGATTCACTCGACACCGTCCTGATTGGTGATTAGGCTCATTCCTCTGTCATTACCGAGCTCTCAGAGGAACATTAACAGAAGTTTCTAAAACAAACGGGAGGGGAGGATTGATCTGTTCACGTAGTTCTGAAGAAAAAGACTGTTGGCTGCTGATGGAAACTTTACCTCCTTCAAAAGGCAATGCAGGCAGGGTTGAGCTCGGCAGATGGTGACCCCTAAACCCCGGCGACGAAATCGATGATCTTGCTAATGTGGTACGACCAATTTAGTTAACAAAGAACCTCATGTCCACCGAGAAGGTCTCGAGGAACGTGATTTTTCATGATATGTGCTTGCACGGTCATTGCATGTGTTGGCTTTAAAGTGTCGAGTCCAAGTCGTTTGCATGAGAAATAAAACTCAAGGAATAGTGACTAATCTTGACAGTTAGGATGTGTTTCTTTTTAGTGAAAATATTTTCATAAAACTAATTATGATCAAGGAAATAATTTATCGATTGAAAAGGGATAAGGTCATTTTATAAACTTAACTTCATTCTTCACAGCTCTCGACATCCAAAAACATCCGATCAAAGATCATTACCTCTACCTCGCCGACAACGATTATTCAAGTGATTGTTTATCTTAGGTGACTATAATGTCTTGAAATCTCTTTATTTCTTCAGTTTTTATTTTTGTAATTCTTCAATTTCTTCCTCTACTCACAACATAAATAAAAGATTTTTGTTTTTTTTACTTCAGATTTTTCCTATTTTCCTAATTTATTTTCTTAACAGCTGATTTGGTACACTGCCGGATCTAGTTTTAGGGGTTCGATTGCTTGACTAATTTTAATTGATATATATTGTAATTATTCAAATGACACAGTGACTTGTAAAAACAAAGAAAATAATGTGGGTTTGTTTCACTAAACATAAATTTTAAAAAATATTTTCAGAATTCTGGGAAATTATTTTCGGTGAAATAAATAAACCATTAATTTTAGATAAATTATATCACTGTTATTTATATGTATGTATATTACAATTAAATTTGGTGAATTATATCAGGTACATTAATCAAATATAATAATGTCGATAAACTTTTATTGCAAAATATTAGAAGGAAATCAAATTCTCATGTTACAAAAGAAGTGAAGAAACAATCTCCAATCAGTTGAACCCAAGTAATCAAATTTGAGCCCTTCAATACATATAGATATTTATATATAATTTATAGGCTTAGTGTAGCTAACTATGTACTTAAGCAAAGAAAGAAACAAGGAAGGCTCCAACCAAGGACCCAAGAACAGGCAAGGCTGAGGTTGCAACGCTGGACTCTGGGCCTGGTGCTGAAGCTGGTGCGGCGCCACCCAAGGCGGAGTCGAGTGGGGTAGCTGTTGGGGTGGCTGCTGGGGCGGCGGCACCGGCAGCCATGACTGCGCTCATGGAGGCGGCGGCGACGATGACAGCACAAGAGATCTTCTTCATGTCCATGGTGTTGGAGAGACCTGCCTCAATTGTGTGCTGAAAAACTTTTGTTTTTTTTTAGCTCTGTGCTTTTTAGTTTTTATTATTCTGCAGGTGAGGAGGAGGTGAGTTCATGGCTGATTTTATACCTTTCCTTTGCCTTCTAATTAGGGTTTTCGTTTTCTTCCTTTGGTTTTGCATGGTTTTAGGATACACTCTTTGACTCCTCATTCTCCGTGCAAAATTTACAATTATTTTCCTGTAATTATTTTATTATCATTGTTCCTTAAAATCTGTAATTCTGAAAATATAGGTTAACAACTCATTCAATTTAATTTCTTAATTTAGGTTATTCAATTTTGTGGTGCAAAAACTTGTAATATATTTAAAAAAATAATATTATAATTTTGAATTGAAAATTTTGAATAAAAAAAATCTGTTAAGCCTAGCGGTCAAAATTTGTTTACATTTTAAATTTAAGAGAATAACGGAAGCATGGAATTTCAAAATATGTTGATGAGAACAAGTTTGTTTGATTGTTGGCAGTTAACTTCTTTTAGTTTAAACGGAAAGTTACAATGATGAGATAATAACCGTTGATTGATATTTTCTTACGAGAGAGATGAAAGCATAAGGAGAATATAAGAGTGAATAAGAAAAGGAAAATACATTTTTTTAGTCATAGCGGAAAGATATTTATAATAATTCTAACATATTGTAACACCTCAATTTAGGGGCTAAATTTTAAGAAATTATAATGTGGTAAATTTAATTAGTATTTTCGATGAAAATGAGGATTAAATTGCAAAATTTCAAAGTTGGAAGACCGTGTCATAAAGTGCAGAAAATTCAGTGGCTAAACTCATGGTTTACTCATTTTTCTTTTTAAGATATTATAAACCCCAATCAGACGCATATTTTTCTGGAAAATTCCAGTTTTCTTCTTCCCCTCAACCCCTTTTTCAACTCCGATCTACTCGCCGTCCGACCTCCGATCGACGAACCGAAACCACCATCGTGCTCGTTGTCAATCGAGGAACAAAACCCCTCAAACCTTTCGTCGTGAATCATCGCCGTTCGTCGTAAATTTCAGTCGGAAGTATCGTCGGTAATAACTTAGTTTTAGTTGGTTTTTTATCGATTCACGACGATCGGGTCATCCGTTTATGACACCTCCCGCACCATCGTGTTCGTTGCATCGTTCCGAGTTCGCCGGTGTCATCCTTGGTCTCCGTCATCGGCGGCGCGTGAGGAGGTGAAGCGGTTAAAGTTTCCGATTTGTTGAAATCGAGCTCTCCACCATTCAAAATTGTGAAACGAGCTTTGTAAGTATCTCGAAATCGCTCAAAATAATTTTTAAGAATTTTTCCGGGATTTTATCACTGCTCACGCGCCCCCACGCGCCTCCACTGCGCGTGGGGAAGAAAAAAATGACTGGTTTGACCGGTTTTGGTGCATAGTTGACCGGTTTGACCGGTCACAACCCGACCTGACCCGTTGACCCGACCCAACCCGTTTACCTGACCCGTTGACCCGACCCATTGACCCGTTGACCGTAGACCCGTTGACCGTTGACTACTGTTGACCAAAACTTTGACCGGCTTTGACCGGGCATTAAACGACCTTTGACTTCGACCGAGTATACTTATCCTGACATTTTTTGCCGTTCCAAATCCGATTTTGCTGTCCGTTTTTCGAAATTCGAACCCGAAGGCTTCGAAATTTCCGGTCAAACCCGTTGACTTTGATTTTGACCAAAAATTCCAAATTTCCGAAAAGTCATATTTTATGCTTTCGACGTCCTGAATCCGAATCCGAAGTCCGTTTCGCCAAATTCAAACCCGGTAAGCCGTCTTTCACTGATTTATCACCCGATTCGATCCGTTTATCGTAATTAAGCTCTGTTTTTGATATAATTTCTGTTTATATGGATCCGAGGAAATATTGGAAGTTGAATTGAAGATCAAAGGTGTTCGAATGGAATTTTTATGGTCGATCAGTATTGCACGAAAATCGAGGTAATACTTTACTACCTCTTTATGCTTTATAGAACATGTTGGTATTGGTAAATGCATGAATGGAAATGTTTGGTCTTATATGTGTAATAAATGAAGATCTACACTAGATACGAATACGGTAGAAAATAGATAACTGAATATGGCTCAGATGACTATTATAAGAAATTGGAGGACAGTTGGAATTAAATTACAAGTTCTGAAATTAAGTGATAAAAGAATCAACCATGGATTGTAGATTATAATTTATCTCATTAAAGGTACTTAGATGATAAATTATGAGAATATTTCGATTAGGTAAAATTACGAAATTACCCTTATGGTGGAAAATGACAAGAATTGTCTCTGGAAGTGGATTAATAAATCTGAAAAGAATTATTGATCTGCTAAAACTATTGATGTGCATAAGGAAATGTTAGTTTTACTTGAAAATTATGGATAACCGGTTTTTAACACCAAGAGGGTTTATGCAAGATACTAGAAGTCTGTTAAGGAATCACTTCAAGATCAGAGAAGGTTCGGGAAAACAATTAATCATAGGATCTCTAAATTATATTATTTTCGTTAAAAGCTAATATCGAAATTATCTGGTTAAGAAATTACAGAAATGCCCTTAAGAGATCGAATAGTCTGAGTTAACCCTGAATGAGAAAATACTTAGAGGATTCGTACTTAACTCGATTAAGTACAGATTTGATTGTTAAGATCCTGACTTAGCAGGAAAATTCATGATATTCCGTTTGTAAAATCTGAGAAGGCACTTGACCCGAAAATATTCGAGAAATGAGTAAATACCTGAAGAATAATTTATTGGGGGTATTATGCTGTCAGAATTATTCGAAAGGACTGAAACAAATGATGAGATTGAATTAAATAATAAGATCGGATGGAGGAAAAAGATATAAATTGGAATTAAATAATAAGACCGAATGGAGGAAAAAGATTGAAATACCGTGGATCTGTAAAATGACCAAAATACCCCTGTAATGGAAATGACTCAAGAATGTCACCAAGCTCAGGAATGATTGGATATCCTCGAGCTCTGAAATGAATGGAATAAAACTGAACATCAAAATTACCAAAATACCCTTATGGCCTAAATTAAGTAAATGTCTTGGATTAATTAAGGAATCCAAGTAAGCATAGGTATTGGACTACCTTTAAAGGTAATGAAAAATAATTTAAGTGAGTAGATCAACCCTAAAGCTATGTCAATACCTGAATGACATAGATATTACTGGAACATGTGTTCGTCTTCTCAAGTTTGGCTCGATGACAAATTTTGGAAGTATTCAGTTCAGCTCAGATCTAGATCGTATTCAGTACTAGGAATTGGACGTTTGTTCGACAAATCAACCACGAAGACCAAATTGAATGGAATGGAAGTGCAACATGTGTCTGAAATTTAGGAACGTTTGAATTACTCTGAAAAAAAATCCCGAAGTAACTGGAATGGATATGACTGTTAAATAAACTAGGTAACCTCAATGACTGAGGATTAAGTAAGTGGATTGGATAAGTCTGGAAATTCTGATAAGTTTATAAGATGTAATGTCCTTATGGAACATGAACTACAAATCAAGCATGTCAGTATGTCATGATATCGTGGAAGCTTGGAAACGAAATAAAGACCATTGGAAGATCTATTCATCGATGATTCTGAAGATGATCTATGGACAAGAATTTGTGGTATTAATGAGTAAATACCCTGAAAGGAAAATGAATTGACCAGTCGACATAGATTATTAAGATTCTGAATCTTCGTTCTCAAGATTGTTCGATTATCCAATCAATTGACATGGATGTAAATGATTTTGAATACCCTTCTGATTACATACAACTTCTGAAAACTGTCCAAATAAGATATGATCCTGATAATTCACATTCTGAATAACTGATGATTCTGTCAGTTATTGAACTTTTCCAATAGTATTTCTAACGTCCGGTATTTTATCGGTATACTGAAAATCCGTGTTTCTCTGCCTGCTAAGATTATTTAGCATCTCTGAATAATATCTGTAAACTCTGGTGTGTTCCCTAATCATATAAATATTTTATCTGATTTCCGACTTGAATTCTGTTCTGATAAATTACCTGAATTCTGTTCTGATTTCTGATCTGGATTCTGTTCTGATATTTGTTCTGAATTCTGTTTTGATTTATGATATCTTCGTTTAATGACGGAAAAATGTTTTAATTGAGGGGTATTGTTGAAGGAAGAATTTTCGCAAGTACCTCGGCTTTGTGCTCAGGGCCTTATATGTTGTGTTGGGTTGGGTGTATGGTTCTGGGGAACCTACACATTATGTTGTGATGGGATGGGGGTATATATATATATATATATGTTTTAAAAAGATCTGAAATGTTACATGGTTTTTGGGAACACACTAGAAAACCTATTATGATCTCCTCAACTCAGTCATTCGAAATATTTCTCTGAACTGAAAGCTCATTGTCCGTTACCACCCAAAATATCAGTAGAATCTCTGCTCAGCATAAAAATATGTAAATGCTCAGAAGCAATAAGGAAATAAATATTTATCTGTATCTGCACATTCATCAGCATCATCTGGTAGTTCTGTATTACTGAGCTTTCCAAAGGTCACTCTATTACTCACCTTTTCAGGTTGAAAGAATTGTACCAATGCATCTATCGACTTCAGTAAGGGAGTTCGTCCAGCGTTGTTGCAGAGTAGGGTACATGTGATTAGGGGGCATGTAATTGTATTTTGATTTATATATGAGTTTGGAAATATGTTTTATTTTTAAATAGTGAAAACTAATTTTATAAGTTACACGTTTCAATAAAAGTTTTAAATTTTCCGCTATTTTTACAGTAGGTCGCTCCGGTGGCCCTAATGTGACTTCTCGGATCGGATCGGTATACCCGCATCGGTCTGGGGGGTTACACATATAGTGTAAGGCATAAGATAATTAAAACTACTCGTATATTGGCAAATTAAATAGATATAATTACGAGATCTTATATTTCGTTATGGTAGACCATGTATGTCTGTCAACGGTATTGTCTATACATTGTATATACAATATAGCTGATTTGGAGTTTATAGTACTGTTATGTCGAGAGGATATAGATTCCTTGAGAGCTATGATAA